CTTAATGGCCAAAAGTGAACACATTTTCACCCAAAGCTAGCTAAACTTGGTTGGCAAATTGCATCCATAGACTATATGGGTGCAATTGTTATTCAAAGAATGCCATATATTATACATTACTTTTGTTAAAGCGTTATTTAATTATTCGCTGGTGAAAGTAATTTGTTACTCTACTGGCATAATTACTAGTTAACAATACAAACCTAAGGCAAAGTAGGGGCAGCCACCTGCTGCAACCGGTTGGAGATAAGGAGAGGATGACCGAGCAACAGTCTACAGTCTCAATCCCTGTTCTAATCAGAAACACGAATATGATCTATTTTTTAGTGTTTAAGTTTGAATACAAAGCTGAAAACACAAAGCAAAATTGAAAATCATCTTAAAGGGACGATTTCTCCTGTTATTGGCAGAAAGTCTTTTTGCTAGCTTTGTACTAGCATTGTCATTTCATACCTGTACTAGCTACAGAGATTAAAACCTTTTTATTGTGCAAGGCTCTAAACTTAGCTCTGCTGTAAACCTAGATATTTTAACATGAAAATCATGGGCACTGACTCACTTTTCAAGCCAGCCTCCAGAGGCCATTCAAGCAGCAGTTTTCACTCTTCTACACTGGTCTAATCTTTCAGCCCAAGAGGCTGTTGCTTAATGACTATCTGTTGACTTTGGACAATAAGCATTAATCAATAATTAATCAGGAAGAATGTGCTGGACATGGATACATTTAACCTTATTTCTAAAAAGGCTCAGAAGAGAAAACAGAGTCTAACGCTGTTACAGCAAAGTTGTGCTATTAGCCTGTGGAGCTAGGCTTTGTTTTCTGTTATGACAATTCATACCACCCACTGCAACAGTGTGGTTTGGTAACATGTTTAAACAGAGAGAGCTCTTTGGCAAAAGATTATTAGGCTACATCAGGTTTTGGACAGTGAGTCAGACAATACAGGCTTGTTGTTTTAAGAATTAATAAATAAAATAGAGAAAATCACCAGCCTTGTTTTTGAAGAACGAACTGGAGCTCTGAACAAATCGAGATAACGGGCTCCTGGGCACTGAAATGTAGGCCACCCACCTCTCTTTACACAGAAGCTAAGCAGAAAAAAAAAGTCTTTTTGTAATCATTCTGAATCCCCTTGTGCCTATTTTGCATCTCTCTGTAGTCATTTTGTGTCTCTTTGTAGTTGCGTTATCGGTCTCTTTGTAGTCATTTTGCATCCCTTTGAAAGTTGCTTGACTTTCCTACAGGAAATATTCAGAGCTTTTTAACTGGTTCAGGTGGCTTCTGGGCACGTGCCCAGTGGGCTTTTTCAGTAATCCACCCATGGCCCAGACAACCAAAGCTCTTTTTTCAAACCAAAGATTTAAGCTCCCATTTAATTGCGGACACTGGTTTATATAAGCGACAAATGCAGTCACTGTCTTCCTTCTGAAAAGACTCAACAACACAATCCCCCACACATAAACCCCTCTGCTGGCCATCGTTTCAACCACAATAACACTCCCCACACCTCACGCCGCTGGCTTTATGAGACTTTGTCATAAAGCCATGTTGTTTCGCAAGAGCAGCTGAGCTCACTCCTTTTTATTCTTTTTTTTAACGTTGCGCTGTCATGACAGCAGCTAACAATCCAGCTGCCGTGTGAAGTGTGAGATAAATGCTCTGCTCACGCTGCAGCCTTGTCCAGAAGAGCGGAGAGGAAGAAAGATACTTGTAGCAATCAAGCCTGAATGGTTCTCTCCGTCTGTGTAATTGGTTGAAATGAGCTATGAGGACCACCTGCTGACTGTCATTCAGAGCTCTTTTACATGGAAACTGTGCCCAGTGTCAGAGAAAGAGGCACACAGGGAACGTTACCATCAGCCCTGCTCTGTAAAACTCCTCGGAGAAAATTAACTCCTGTGCAGTACGAGATCCATTATATTGTGGTCGGATTATCTTGGCTCTTACTTTATGTAACTAAATATCCACAGCGAATGTTTAAACTGCATTCGACTGAGATAACGGCTATTTAGATAAGTGCAAATTTAAAATTAAAGAGATTGTTATGTTATGCAGCTTTTTTGCAGCATAGCCAGTTTAAAACAGCACCAGTCAACATTTGATGATGAAGATAAGCTGTAATAAATTTCCAATTATCACCAGACTATACAAACCATTAATAGTCTCTCTCTTCACTTGTGACTCTGCTGCTAACCTAGCAGGGTGGCTGATAAACATGGCACAGCATTTAGCATCTAAACAGCCGGAAAACTTTCCCAAGAGTCGGCAAAAACCAAAACCTCGCTTTAAAGCAACATGCCCAAACACCAGCTCATCCCTCAGTGTTTGACTATGCAGCACCATATTTTCCACTACATGAGACCCACAGTAAGTAAAGTAAAACTTTAATTTATAGCATTTTTTAAAAACACGACAACCCAAAAGCAAGTGTAAAAAGGCGAGTAGTTTTCAGCTGCTTATTGAAGATCTCAGGCTCAGACGGAGAAAGCTCCAGAGTCTGGGGGGCACGCTGATGCAAAAAGTTCTCACAACCAGCAGAGCCTGATCACATGACCCCAGAGACCTGCTGGGGATGTATGGATGTAAAAGTTCACTGATGATCGCTGGTGCTCGTCCATGCAGAGACAAAATCTGAATCATACAGCGGATCCTGTAGTTAATAACAAGCCACTGCAACTGAATTACCAACTTTAATACACATCTTTACCGCTTCTATAGGAATTAAGAGGGTCAGTAGCAGCCAGGTGTTAATAATTGAGATCATTTTCTTAACTGATCATCAGCAAGTGTGAGCGCCTCTATAAAAGGAGAAGTCTTGGCAGTTTGCTGATCTGGAGTATTCAGAACACTGTGTTTGGGGAAAAAAAAACCCGGGCACCTTGCAGACTCGATCATTAACTCCTCTGCATATCAAAATAATACAGTGTGAGGCTGTCGGTCAGACATCTAAACTGTGGCTGAAAGTGGGTCATAGAACAGGACAATGATCCCAAACACAGCACGAATCTACAACAGAATGGCTTAAAAATAAAAGAATAAAAAGTGCTGCGGTCCATACCTCAACGTGACTGAAATGCTGTGGTGAGAAATGAACAAAGCTGTGTGTAAATAAAAGCCTGCAAACCTCAATGAACTAAGGCAACGTTGTAAAAAGCAAAAGAAAAAAAGAAAAGAAAAAAAAAAGAGCGGGCTGAAATTCCTCCACAAAGATGCAGGAAACTGATAAAGTCAAACAGAAAACAATTCAAGTTATTACTGCTAACGGTGCTTCTACCAGCTACTAAATCATGAGGTGTACTTTAGTTCATTCGCAGGACTGTAAAAAAATCCCTATGAACACTCCATTTTTCACAAGGACTGTATTACTCATTTTTTGTGCATATTCTGAAGGACAGAGTGCAGCCTTGTGTGAACCCGTGTTAATGTAAATGATATTAAACATGCTCCAAATTCACAAACCGTTCCCACTTTTACACCTTCATTTTCTCCTCTTAACACATTCAAGCTGTTATGTTTAAACTCAACTGCTACGTTCCTATTTATCTTCCTATTTATTGTGCTGCATCTTATCATTACTGCAATCACTTATGTTCCACTTCTGAAGGTCACAAGCTTAATAAATAAACCAGGGCAACAAAATGAAAGATCGGCTGGGGTCTGGATTCATTAAAGGAAAATTCACTCAACAATCAACAGTAACAGCCTCAATAGGGCTTAATTAGTGCAGATGAAATCTTGGGTCTGTAATTAGTGCGTATTAACCAAGGGTTGATTTGTTGCACAGGAGAAAAAAAATGCACATTACATAAGTAAACTGCTGTTTTGTTAGCTTCCTTCTACTTCTACTGTGATTGTTTTAATGCAAGATATCAATATCTATACAGCAGTTTTCCAGGGAAATGAGAGCAACAGCCATTTAATTCATTTCCTATTTTTACCAACTAACCAGGGGAATTGACTTTACAACCTTCTCTTCAATAGTTTGTCTGCTGCCATCCCATTAAGCCTCAAAATAAACCTAGGCTGAAGGTCATTGCTTGTTTTAGCCTTCACCCATCTTTTCATCTATTTTCAGCCCCTTTTATGTCTTTGGGCCTTTAGCATTTATGCCCACCAACTGAAGACAGCAAATCCTTTGGCCCACTCGTTCATAACGCTGGATCCAGTTAAGGTTATCCACAATGTAAATAAAATCCTCATTACTGTTACATAAATCTGTCACAGTCTCCTCTCTGCAAGTCTGCCCCCCCAACAGACGTGTGCATGGTCTGGCAGTCAATTACATCCCTTCACCTTCACAAAAAAAGAAGAAAAAAAAGCCCCCTCCACCATGGCAGGGGAGGCAGCAGAGCCCCGTATCTTTATCTGATCTTTATCCTCTCTCAGCAGCACGAATGGGGGGAGCTGTCAGTCTAAAACTCCAGCTAGCCAGAGCTCGCCGGAGTCCTCTTTAATGCAAAGCATCATCTCAACATAGATGCTGGTTAGGCAGTGAGGTTGAAGACGACAAGAAGTCAATCTCCACACGTTTGAGAGGAGGTATCCAACTGCAACATTATAAATATTCATGAAGCACGTAAACAAATGGAAAATGTTTGATTAGGACTGATCAGTAAGGTATGAAATGACAAAAACAAAGCCTTCCTGGAATCATATTTTACACATGACCTGTTCACGTATAACAGGAGAAACGGTGGCATTTATTAATGTCTCCCCGCTAACAATTGATCACACTCGTTTGGTTCTCTCTCTGGTCTGTGCTTCTATGTCACTGAGTTCAGAGGACATTAGTCATCTGCCGACCTACAATCAGACCACATTAAGGTTTCAGTCGTCATCAATAGTCCACCACCATCCATCCTCACTATATGTTTTATGCAGGTTCCTTCTGACCTCATATTAAGCGCCTTTTCTTCCCTCAGCCGCTGAACCCTGACGCAGTCTCCTCTGCTCAGATCAATAGACTAGGACACAAACCCAAGACACAAACATCAAAAAGTTTTCTGTGTGCTCCTTTCTCCTTTTATCTTCTTCTTTAAAGCAAAGAGATGGCAGCATATGGAGTGTGTCATTCTCAAGGACAGTTCAGTTCGTCGTGTGACCGGACTCGGCAGAACAAGATAGTACTTATGATTGCCTCTGGCCATGTCACTCCACTGAAGAAGATCTCTCCCCCTTAGTCCCTCAGCTCATTCCCTCTCGCATCTATTGGCTTCCATCCATCTTACTCTTTTCTCTCTGTCTGCAGGCCTCCATCCCCAAGTACTCGTTTCTTGAGTACATCCAGTTTATCGGTGGCCAACGCTTCTCTTAAGGCCCCGAAGAAGCCGTGATAGTGGGCTGTGTTGTGGATCATGAGTAGAACTCCGGCCAGCAGCTCATTGGTCACCAGCAGGTGGTGCAGGTACGCCCTCTGGTGGTTCTTACAGCAGTAACAGCCACACCCCTCCACCAGCGGCCTAAAGTCGTCCTGATACCTGGGCAGAAGTTCAAACACAGTTTGAGTTTAAGTAGAATTCATGAACAGGCATTATAAATGTAAATTAGGTCTTCAGCAAACACATGAAAGAAAAGAACTTGCAAACACTGCTACTTAGAAAACCCACTGGGGTATTACAATAGCTGCTACGAACCTTTTCTCTTTGAGGTTCATCTCAAAGGGTGTCATCTGTGTTTGATCATGACGATTAAGCTCGCCATTCTGCTGGCTCTCCCCTGCTGTCTCCTTCTCTTCGTTCAACTCCAACACTGCCAAAACATGCATATGTCGTATAAATCCCAGCACAGATCCCTAGCCAAATGGCATGTCCCATTGCAGTATGACAGCAATAATCAAACACGTATCACCGCAGCTAACACTTATACATCCTCTTTTTTTTCCCACTATTTGAATATAACATCCACAGTCACTGTTGAAAATAGCATTGGCTCCAATTGTGGCTGCAGCATGAGTGACTGAAGTCATTAATGCAAAGGGGGGTGGGGGTGTAGGCTAAATACACAGCTGACTCAAACATTAAGATGCAATATGTCTGTGAAGGTTCTCAGTCATCCAGGTCATCGTAGTCAAAGGAGCTTGCAAAGAAAAGCGTCTGGACTTCTTTAAGTTACTTGAAGACGTTTCACCTCTCATCCGAGAGGCTTCTTCAGTTCTAAGGTCAAATGGTGGAGAGTCCCAGATATAAACCTAGTGGGAGTATCCCCCCGCAGAGGGACAAAAGGACCCCCTGATGATCCTCTAATCGCCTGAGCCAAGGTGTGGAACTGGGTGTGGGTCCCAATCAGCCAGAGTTTCGGGTGAGTTCATTGTGAAACCTGGCCCCACCTTATCATGCGAATTCCTGAGGTCAGATGGCCCAGGGTGTGAGTGGGCGTTAAGGCGTCTGGGAAGGGATCTCAAAACTGGATTATAGATGGCAGAGAGTTGGTGTCGTAAACCACCGCCTCTGTTCAAAGATGGTCGCTCACAGTTAAGATGCAATGTTTTTACAATATTGGCCATCCAGATGCATAATATTACCTATACTGATATTATCAACAATAGCAAAGTGAGAAGCAGAACTAATAGACAAACTGAGGCATTTATGTGTGTAGCTGCTAATAAACAACACAACAACACCCAACATACAGCAGAGTAACAGAGGCAGAGGCTGTCTGTAACTGAGAGACCAACTCGCTAACAACCTGCACAATCTACAGTACTCAGTCTTCCACGGACCCAGACTTTCTTGTATTTTTTTAAATTGTCTTTAGCAATAGTTCTCGAGGCTTTCTGAGGGTCTTTTAGGGTTTTTCTTTGGGCATTAGTGAAGTGATTCCCCTATTAACTGAAACCTCAGATCTCAATATGCTGTGTGGTGTCTCCTTCAAAAATTGCCTCATCAGAAATGTCTCAGTGGCAGAGTGGCTATCAAGAAGCCATCATTAAGGAAGGTAAACATGGAGAAAAGACAGAGGTATGCCAAATTACACAAGAGTTAGACTGAAAATCAGTGAGCACAGGACTTATGGAGTGATGAATCAAAATTTGTCATCCATATATATGTATGGAGGAGCTCGGGAGACAATATTGAGTGTCTACATTCATCTGTGAAACACGTTTCAGGCTCTGTCAAGGTTTACGGCTCTATTTCAACCGTTGCTGTTGGGGCTCTTGTCAAAATTGCTGGAAAATGAAAGCTGAAAAGTACCATCAGCTTTAAATCTGCCATGGAATACCGTCTGGAAAACATAGATAGGAAAACTCACACTGCAATACTATCAGTTGTGCAATTTATACTTTATTTCCACCCGTTCAGTTTATTTCACGTCTCAATAAATATTTCCACCCATTTCACATTTTCCAAACAAAACATAAAAAATGAGGGGCGGCTCATGACTTCCGCACAGTACTGTAGTTTCAAAGGCTTTGAATGGTAACTCTTGTTAAAGAAGAGCAGTTTTTAATAAGAGGGCTCTTGTTTAAAGGAGGACCAGATCTCTAGCCAGAAACACACAAAAGATACCAGGAAGACTGGAGGGTTTGCTGGAGAAGAAGAAGAAAAAAAGTGATCCATAGCAATGTCTGTTATTAAAGATAGAGATTAAACGGTAAGAGAAGAGCATAATGGGTTTAGTGAAACCCAAAAGAGGTGATGCCGAGAGCAACAAAGTGCATAAACAAAGCAGAAAACTGAAATTATCATGGTGTCTGTGTGGAGCTTAAAAGGGGAAGTGATAAGCTTCAGAATAAAACTGGATGGAATGAAGCTTGACCAAAGCTAATAAAACATCAAGAAGCGAGAAGTAACTTTCACTGGAGATTAAATTTTGCACAAAGAAAAAAAGCAGCAACAACACAAACTGGATCTAAGAAGAAAGAGACTGGAGTTCGAAGGCTATCATTGTCACAGGCCCTTCATAAAACCATAAGAGAGGAAACGCAGAACTGCATCTCACACTTGATGTTCAGCAAATTAAAGGCTGCATATAAAACACATCTTAAATGTGTACTCTTATCTATTTGAACTAATGAGCCAGGTCAATGAGTTCATCTTTACAAACATTTAAATTTATATGATCTGAAGTTAGTTTAAGCACTATAAGTCAGAGGCAGCAGCGACGTCATTACCGCCAAGCTGATAAGCTGCGCTAGTTAGCTTTTACAAGGAACAGCTTAGAGCCAAACAAATTTAGCTGCAATTAGCAGACACACAAGCTGTGCAAGCTGTTTTTACCTTAAATTACACATTTCTATGGCGTGATCATTTTCATACGCTAAAATCTCCTTAGCTTTGTCTCAGATAAGCAGTTACCCTGCCTTAAAGTGGCAGAAATAGCAGTCAGGACCCATAAAAAGATTGGAGGGGCTTCTAAAGATAGAGAAAGAAACCGTGTGACAGATGAATACTTTAAGAGGGTGACAAGGGAGGAACGGGTGAATTAGCATATGCTCTGACACGTCTAAAAGAACCTTAACTGGGAAGTGAGGGTGTTGACATACCTCCCACGGGGCTGTGTAATTGGCTGAATGGTGAATTAGAATTTCTCTAAGGGTCCGACACCTCCACTGAACTCCATTATGCTCCATGTGCAGAATCGATTAATGCTGTCTGGCACTGCATAGTGCCAGATCCCAAACTCCCCTCTGTGATGAGTTTAATACAACTTCTTACTCGGGTACAAGGAGGGCCAAGGCTCCTGTAGATTTTCATTAGGGATAGCAATCAGGACGGCTGTAACTCTGCTATCAGTTTGATACCATTTCACCCACCATGAACTGCATTTCTGCTTGTAAGTGATTTTGTGCTTCTACAATACACACAAACACAAACAAAAGCATAAGTTACAAGCCATCATACGCACATCAGATGTCAATGATCACAAGTAACACTTAATTTCTATTCATTACGTGAAAACCGTCCGCAGCAGCTGTCAGCCTCGTTTCTCACCAAATTAAAACTAGATAACGGCATCGCTGTGAGATGAAAGCCCTTCGTCCGTTTGTCTAAGAACCAGCGACATTAACGCCATACGCTTTTTAAACTCACCATCAAAGGCTCCTCCTATGGAAATTAACAAATGTGCTAGAGCATATTTAATCATCACTTCTGTTTTATCAGTTAACTCAGACTCTGTGCCATTTAAGACATCAAAGTAGCGTCTGTTCCCCTTTCTAAAGAATTAACACTAATACTTTTTCATACATGAAATCCACTATATTTATATCCCTTTAATCTTTTCACACTGCTCTGGTCATACCTCTTTGATCCACTATTCTGTTTATCACTCGTGTGTATTCAGGGTTCATTATAATCCGAATATCCAAACAAATTACACAGTGACAGGTCAGTTTCCTCGAGGCACACACTCCAAGCTGCCAAATTCGAAGATGCCTAATTTTAGCCTTCTCCGCTCATTTCCTTTTTGCCCTTTGAATATGAAATTAAATCTCTGCGCTCTCTGATTCAAATGCTGCATATCAGAATGACTATTTCGGTTGCTCGCTAACAAGCTCCAGAAAGAATCATTTTCAGGAAAAATGTAGGAGCTGCAGAGTATGAAACAATGCATTTATAATAAAGTTTGATGTCCACTAAATGCTGGAATACAAGTGAAAGGCAAAACTATGGAATTATTAACAATAAAATAAGTTTTAAGATGTTTTATTCATGGAGCTCGGTCCTGAGGGGCTGCATGCATGAAACATAAAGAGCTTATAGCTCTTTATAGAGCTTATATATATGTGTGCACAAAAACTACCAATGAAGTGAACTTTCTTTTCACTTCAGTTTACTTTTACTGGCTGTAATGACACAACTTCAGCTGATAAATGTGAGGAGGTCTAGAAGTGCTAACTACGTCTCAGCACAGCTCTTCACCACACCTGCAGGGGGCGCTCTACCTGCGCGCTCTGGGTCCGTGGAAATGTCAAAGCCGAAGGAGAGAGCGCAGCCTCGCTCCGTCGCCAGGAAGGGGAAAAAACTCTCAAACAGGTCCACGCCGGCCTCGACGCACGCCAGCACTTCATCAGGTCGTCCCACACCGTGCAGGAGTCTGAGAGTCACACACAAACGCGCACACAGACACCAAAAATCAATAGCCTGAACACTCAATAAATGAAACATTGATGCAAAATGTCAACAACATATTACTGGCAGACAAAAGCCTTTCACAAACACCAGCAGCACGCTTCTTCTCTGGAGTGTTGGTTGGCTCGTTGGTGCCTTCCCCATTTCCCGGGCTCCTCCTGACTCTCTGCCTCCAGGCATCAAGGTCAAGGCGAATTTAGCATTCGATAATGACTCCTCTCCACTTTCTGGTAGGAAGCTGCTTCTCTAACAGCCTGAAAAACCAGCGGGGACGCTGCCCTATGGTGTTCCAGATGAGCCTGTTAACAAGCCAACTTAGGGAAGCTCCTGATCACAGACCTCTCATTTCTGATTACAGTAGCTCTCTGTGTCGCTCCACTCTTTAAGCCACGAGCAGAGCTCCTCCATCGCCTCCCAGAGAGGTGGACTCATGTGACATGATCTCCAGAGAGTAAACTCCTAAAGGATGATTCAGTGTGGAGGAACACCCCCCCGAAGTCTCTAAAGGGACTGTAGTCTGCCATATTTTAAGCTGCATAGAAGGATGTCTGAGACAAAGGATTATTTGTCCAAACTGATCTAAATTAATTATCCAACAGGACAAAACGTACATTGTATTTAGGAGTAACAATAAACTCCTTATCAAAATAGCTGCTAATGAGTTTTTAACCTTTTCCCCTTTAATTAAATTAATGATGTATCTAATAAAGTGGCAGTGACTGTGTATCATGCTCTTAGAATTGTAAAAGGAAATGTGGACGTGGATTTTCCAACCTAAAAAATACTTTTCTACTTTTTACTTTTTGAATGTGCACATTTTGTCTTATAAAAGTGACCCAAAAAAACTGTCTCAGCAAAGAAGAAATGTAATAAAGAGCAGCGCAACGGATGAAAATTAAATGACACCAGCACTTTAAGGTCGAGCTGAGATAATGAGCGCTTGAAGATTGCGGAGGGGGTGGGGGCGAGGCATAGCTGCTGGGTTTTCACTTACAATTAATCAAGCAGGACAATTAATTGATTTTGCAGAATACATCAAATGCGGCTTCTCAGCCTCTGAATTATAACGTCTTTACACATTAATTGCTACATTTATCAGAAATGAATGAGCAGCTAATCGATCTGTCAGTTAAATAAGACTTAATGTGTTCCACTGTGACAAAAACGTGGATTGCCTCTTCAAGACGTTCACAAATAAAATCAGTACAGTCGGTTGTTGTTGTCCATTTCCACTCTTCTATTTAGTTTTATCATGGCTGAACAAACAGGTAAATTAATAGATGAAAGAAATGAGGGAAAAATTCATGAGAACAATTTTTTTTCGAAAAAATGAACAGAAGGTTCTGTTGCCATGACGTCTATATCCTCCTAAACTGGAACAGCTGGAAACTGACATTTTAACATTTTTATTTTCTGATGTTTTAACCAAATAATTAATTGAGTAATCTGCACATTAAACTGTTGCCAGTGGAAATCCTAAATTAAATATTTGACTGAGTAAACATGACTATTCCGTGGTAATGGGCATTTTTAAGCCTTTAGCGGAGTGCATTTTTCAGTAGTAATGAAAACAATTATTGATGCTGAAAATAATGACTAGTTGTTGCCCTGCAGTGAGATTCTGTGTAGACACAAAGCTTCAAAAGTCAGATCTCCAACTGCTAGATAAATGCACAGCGTGGCAGAAATCGTCCTGGTGGCACAAAATGAAAAACAGCAGCAGAGAGTTTGTTTAGCCCCACTATCGCTCTTTCTGCTTGGTCCTGCCTGACTGTGTTCGGTGAATGCTTTCCAATTCAATGATGGGAACAACTGTTTGAGCTGTAATCAATTCACAAAGGTCACGTAGCCACGAGAAGGCAAACCTGGGTTTGTCCTCAGGCAGCTCCTTGATCATAGCAGTGATGAGCTGGGTCCTCAGAGTTTGGTCCATGGAGCCCATCTGGAGGCCGTCCAGGCAGAATCCTGCCACGGGCCTCTTGGCGGTCTCTCTGGCAGAGCGTACTCTCTCTTCCAGGATGTCGCCTCCTTCCACCACACCAAACACCTCCACTCCCTCCAATTCCTAGAAATGACAGACAGCGAGGGGACTAGAAACTGCCAAAACACTCCAAAATGACAAAAGAAAGAAGGAGCTAAGAGATCAAAATCTAGATTTTCATGGGCACGCACGGTCCTTGACAAGATTTGCAGCTGCAAAAATAAATAAATTAAAGGCTTTAATCTTGCCAGAGCCCATCTGCAAGTTTGTACATTCAAGGCACGAATTTGACTGCAAGTCACAAGGAGCTAAGACAGTCCCCGTAGCACCCATGTCATGAATTACTTGCAGAATGCTGTCAGTCCTCTCTGCTTAATGTGACTCCAAACTCTCAGTGTATTGTCTCAAGGAACATTTGGTTTGCGTACAGGTGAGGAAACAGCTTATAAATTTACAAGCAATTAGCAAAGACTTACAGAACATATATAAGCATAGAAAAAACAACACTAATATGTCATAGGGCTAGAGGAGAACATTGCTTTTTTTAAAAAAATCTATTATCCACTGAGGCGTAAAAGAGCAAAGATGTCATATGCATGAGTCATGACAGTTCCCCCGCACCTCTTCATGTTAATCCTTTTTACTTAGTCCACCCTCTCATGGAATGGGAATGAGCCACTCTTTGACTGCAATCAAAAGAAAGCAAAGCAGACTATTCTATTAGTCATGCTTGATGCTGCACCATCACACACCTGCTGATAGTGTAGATACCCACTGATAATGAATTCATCCTAACCTCACTGAGCTTCCAGCTGTAGTACAGATGCACAGCAGCCCCTGTCCCAACTGCACTAACGTCAATCTTTGTCTTGTGTGTCTGTGCGATGCATGACTCACTCGCAGATGCAAGCGTGCTCAGCGGCTGCTAAAGTGTGTGTTCACTGTGTACCTTTGATTTTTGGTGCACCAGCAAACACTCGTCCAAATGAGCGAGAGTCCGATCCACCGACTTTCTGACCCGTTTGCGAGAAGCGCTGTTCTGCCAGGTCTCTCCGTCGCACATGCTCTGGTACCAGTCTGGCTGTACGGTCTTCTGAAGAGCCATGAACTTGGCCACCGTTAGTTCTATCCGCCCACCGCTGCCCCACACTGACACCGTCTAATAACAAAGCAAAAATATATGAGAAACCCATTTCACCTGTGATCGCACCCAGCAGTAAAGGGCCTTTAGTTTACCACAGCATGAGCAATGTCACCTTGTTGGTGGTGTAACCCGTCGGGCTGGGCGTGGCGGGGTCGTGAAGGGAGCAGTAGAGCACAGTATCATGAAGACCTGAAACCAAACGTAACTGCATCACCCACAGAGAACACAGCAGCAAAAGGGTTAAGAGGGTCGAGCGTGAAGCCAGGTGACAGAGCGAGGCGCTTCGACTCTGCATGTTAATGTGACGACTGAGAGAGGAACGAGCTGCGTCCTTATCAGCAAACCCAGACGCTGCAGAGGATCAGAAGGTGAGAAAACAAAACTGTCTAATAGCAGCAAAGGCTATTCAATCACTGCTTCTCCCTTCAGGGGCTTCAGAGGCAGAGGCAGTAGTAATCAATGATAGTTTATTCCAAGCGATGATACCGTGGTTACATGTCTAATTTTCTTAAAGTGGCTGCCTGAGGCTGGGTGAAGCCCAGGCCATGTCCACAGCAACACATTTTTGCTTTAAAATCTACAGCTTCTTCATTTACACTTACCCATCACACCACTCTGGCATTTTAGCTTCCCTAAACGGGAGACTAAATCATTTTCAGTGTATTAAAATAAAAATGCAGTTGCCATTTTTTAAAGGTTTATATGGTTGGTAAGCATGGCACGTTCACCAAAATGCTGCACGTTTGTTTTCATTACTATACTTCTAGAGGAGCTCAGACTGAATTTATCCACACATGTCTAAATGAATGTGTTTGAGGCATAGCTGCTGGGTTTTCACTTACAATTAA